GTCAATAATTGAAAATCAGTATCTGGTGATTCATTATAGATAGGTTGGTATACTGGTTTAAGTATATTTTCTTGAGTTCTTACTAATCCTTGTATTTCAGGTTCAAATTCTGAAATCGAAGGAGTTGTAGGTCTGATAATGCTAGACACAGACTTTCGTGAAGCTAAGAAAGTCGAGGGTAACGACCGTCTTGGTATTGGGAGATAATTATCATCAGTACTGGTTATAGATAGAGATCTGTGATTAAATTGTATTTCGATTTCTCCGTCTATATGTTCAATAATTTGATTTGGAAGATTATTTTTCGAAGTTTTTACAGAGTGATTGGAGGTTTGAATTTTCCAATCCCCTGGAAGTTTTATTTGAGACCATTGGATTGTTTTGGGACTTTATTATATTTGTTTTCTCATAATTTGTTTGAAAAAAAGTTGTTTGTCTTTTTGTATCTATTTGTATTACATTATGACATAAAGTGGTCATTACTTTATAATAGATTCGATATACAATAGCTAAATTTTGAGATCCTTGTAACATATCAAAACCTGGTAGTTTAATATTTAAAGTTAATACTTTAAGTAGGTTAGGGACATGTAAACAAATAGCATAATTTGGAAAACAATTAAAATATATTGGTCCATTACATAAACTTGACTCAATTATTCCTAAAAAAGGAATCCGAAAAATTATTGTCTTTCATCTCTTAGACATAATAGAATAGAAGTATTTAATCCTAATCTAGTTAACGGTTTTACCGCTACTTGTATCAACCCTATATGAAGATATTGATACTCTTTATTTTTATGTGATTATAATATTTTATTTGTTAATAGTTGTAGGTTTTCTTGTTCTTCTTGAACAGGTAAATTTTGTTCGGCGGTTTTACTAGCATAGTGGGATTTCCACCTAAATGATATATCCAAACAACAAATTTTATCCGCCACTAAACAATCTTATATTAAAAATGAAGTAAACCAAGATATAGTACAATCCAAAAGTGATGCAGTCAATACATTAATATATGCAATTACACTCCACTTTGTTGGAAGTACGGCTTTTCTCGAAGCCCCGATCTGAAGATATGCTCAATAATCTTAGATGTCCAACTCTTTCTCATTATAAATGGTATAAAGATGTTTTCTTTTCTCAACTCCTCATACGTGAAGTTAGTAGTGCCGATCATTGGAAGGAAAAATTCATCTCCGACCTTCCCTATTTGTTTGCTGAAAAAGTTCGTAATCGTCTCAAAACAAAAGGGGATTATTCATTATCCTCTCTTTACTCTAGACGAATTGTCAGCCGAAATTTGTGTAGAAGGGTTATCTCTTTGTACTGACCTAAAATTAAAACGACAACTTGAGAAACAAAAAATGACTGGCAAAAAGGAATTAGGCGACTTTTGCGAACAATTCGGATATAGTTTAGATCTTTCCCATAATAAACCTCATAAACATAGAAAGTTAGAAAAAAAAATAAAAATCATATAAAAAACTATATCATAAAAGAAAACCTAAATATAAAGACGAAAAATACGAGAAAAAACCCAAAGACGGAAAAAGATATAAAAGAAAAATACCTCGGTGTTATAAATGTGGAAAATGAGAACATTATAAAAATAACTGTAATGTTAAGAAAAAGATAGAATCCTTAATTTAGATGAAAATATAAGAAATCAATTATATGAAATCATTCAGCTTTATGATAAAGACAATGAGATAAGTACAACTTCTTCCTCATCCTCAAAAAGTTCTGATGACGAATCAGACATAGGACTAATAAAAGATGAAGACTTATTAAATGAAACATCCTCTTTATCTGACCAAGATAATAAATGAAACATCATCTTTATCTGACCAAGATAATAAATGTTCTTGTCATACCCTTACCAAAGAAGACAATTTAATCCTAGAAATTATAGACAAAATCCCTAATACTGAAGATAAAAGAACCATAATCAGTCAATATATTCAAATAGCAAAAGCTAGGAATAAACCAACTCCATAAATTAAACCATCAGAAGAATATAGTTTCTCATAAATTCTGAAAAGAATTGGCCAAAAGAATAATAGTAAAAAAGAACCCACTATTGCTGAGTTAAAACACGAAATTAATGAAATTTGAATTGATTAAGTTAAAAAACAGAATCAAATTATTAGAATTAAACGAATTAACAAATAATAATTTTGAAGATGAAGAAGACATAGAATTTACAACTTTACTATATAATATGGAAGATAAACCTAAATCCTCTAATTTTAACCAAGAACTTCAATTAAATTTAATCAACAAAATACTGAACCAACAAAGGTACACTTTGGTTAAAATCATAGTCCAAAACGAGTATACCTTCCAAACATTAGCTCTAATAGATTCCGGTGCTGACTTAAATTGTATAAACAAAGGATTAGTTCCCACAAAATACTGTAAAACAAAACATACAAAACAAAGAGACATTTTTATATCAATTACAAGCCGAAATTAAATATAAAACAATTGAAAAACAATTGTTACTTCCTAAAATTCAGAAAACAATAAGTCTAATTTAAAGGCAAAAGAAACAGAAATTTGTAGTGAAATACTTACTGCTTTTTAGAATCGACATAAACATATAGTATCACTACCCTATGAAGAAAACTTTTTTGACTCAAAAATACCAACTAAATCTCAACCAATTCAAATGAATACAAAAATGGTAGAAATATGTAAAAAAGAAATAGATTCTCTCCTAGCTAAAGGATTAATTAAGCCTAGCTCATCACCATGGAGTTGTGCCGCCTTCTACGTAGAAAACAATGCCGAAAAGGAACGAGGCGTTCAGCGACTAGTCATCAATTATAAACCGCTAAACAAAATTTTAAAATGAATTCCATATCCAATTCCAAACAAAAAGGATTTATTAGATAGACTTCTCAACGCCTGTATCTTTTCAAAATTTGACTTAAAGTCAGGATATTGGCAAATACAAATTAATAAACAAGAACGATATAAAACAGCATTTAATGTTCCTTTTGGACAATATGAATGGAACGTTATGCCATTTAGATCAAAAAATGTCCCATCTGAATTCCAAAATATTATGAATGATGTATTTAATCCCTATTTAAAATTTATGATAGTCTATATCGATGATGTTCTTATTTTTTGTACTGATATACATCAATATTTTAAACATTTAAATATATTTCTTAATACAGTAAAAACTACAAGACTAGTCGTCTCTGCTAAAAAATTAGCTCTTTGTCAAACTAAAATTCGATTCTTGGGACATAACATCTTCCAAAGTACAATCATTCCCATTGATAGAGCTATTGAATTTTCTAGTAAATTTCCTGAT